CTGACACCCCAGCCATGTAAGGAATGACAAGATTCTTCCTTTGACTCTGGTTCTCAGCTCTTGTCGGCTGTTTTTTTGTTGGATCTGGAAGCAGATTTGATAAGGCCCAATTTGGATACCCACAGGCCTTAAGAGCTGTCCTCATGTGTCTGTTTTCTTTCTTTTTGGCATCTATGGTGGTGGGGATGGTTTCTCCCCTGTGGTGTAATATCCTGATGACTCCTAGTTTACGCTGCAGTGGATGGTGGGAGTCAAACTGCAGGTATTGGTCTGTGTGTGTGAGTTTCCTATAAATCCTTATTTCTTGCTTGCCACAGGTCCCAATTAGAACCTCACAGTCTAGAAAAACCCTAGAAAAGGACAGTTTTTTTAAAAAAAGACTGGTGAAGCTGTTATTAAGTGGATGTTTACAGTCTCTGGCCTGTTTAAATATGAGTCTACTATTTTATTTTACAGATTTGTAAATTATTGTGTTCTGTGTTGATGTAAAGAAAAGAGTGAGAGTGGGAGAAGTCTGGAATAAATATGCAATAAATGCAGCCTTCATAAACAGCAAATTTGACAGAATAGTCTCCCATACACCCTGATCTACGTACGTAACACTGACCTCCCTGCATCTAGCCTTTAGGATAGAGACATGCAAAGGCAGGGTTCAATATTGGAGCATCTAAATAGGTTGAAGTACAGCTGGATTTTTTTTTTTTACTTGCTTCAAATATCATGTCAATGGGCAAATTTATATATAAATGAATTAAATAAATCAATTTATTTGATTTACAACCTTAAGAGATCAAAAGCGTTCCATAATTTTAGTACCTCAGTTTTATATTCAAAAGGAGAATAAATAAGCTTACACAACAGCAGCAATGATCCCAAAATCATAGCAAGGATGGCCCAAATACCAAGAGTAACATCTGGGGCCAGATGCGAATCAGTTCTATCTGGTGAGTAAACACAATCTTTAGGAACTGTACAATCGCAGAATGTAACTTCGATTTCAGTAGTTCCAGAGTTGCCTTCATTATCAGATACTATAACAGGAATTTTGTATTGACCATACTCTAAATTGTCTACTGGTTCCAAATATGCTGATCTGTCTGCAGAAAAAAAAAAAATAATATAAACAAAGTAGTGAATATTATTTCAGATATAACAGTTCAATTGCAAAATGCTAAAATTTTAGAAATGAGTACATACCATCATTCTGAGTTAATCTCCAGGATGGAAACTCTCTTTCCGGAAGGGAAAAAGTAAAGGGAACTGTGTGAGGATCTATATCAGCATCCACAGCAGTAAGACAAATTGGTTTTCTGTCTCTGCATATTATATACTTTGTTGGAATAATGACTGGATAATTATCATTCTCATCTAATAGATTAACTACAATTGTTCCAGTGCCCGTTTTGCCACCTAAAAAATACAAGCAGTTTCAGGAACAGATTAACTTCAGAAGGTCTGGTGTTCCCCATCCAAGTATAATCCAAATCTAATAATGGTTAGCTTCTGAGCTAAATACAAGTTTAATCAAAGGAGAAACTACTTCTGGGGATGAATACCACATCTAAAGGCATTTCACAATGGCACTTCACAAGGCATTTCAGGTTGACTTTTCAATTTTGCATATGATTGCTGGCATTAAGAAAGGTATGACTTTTGTAATCAACGTATGAATGACCAGGATTCTCCTTTTCACATGGAAGACTGGGAATATTATGCAATTCTCAAGAGAAGGCCATGTGTTACATCATAAAACCGGGTAATATTTACAAAGGCATTAACACAAAAAGCTGCATGTAATTACCCCAAACTCAAGTAAATTAACTTTTTATGATTTTAAAGTTTATTATAATAATAATAATAATAATAATAATAATAATAATAATTGTTTTGTATATATTGTTTTTAGCTTTATTGCATGCAGCCCCAAGTCACTTGTTTGTGAGGCAGGTGGCCATATAAATATGACAAATAAACAAATAAAGCAATAACAATGCTATGAACATGACATCATTTGAAAATCTTTTTGTTCACTTCAGCTATATTTATGGAACTTAGACCTTTGCTATGCATTTTTACGCTGGCAGATTCTCTTTCTTTAATGAATGAAGCAGCACTGCACTGGGAAAGCCAGAGGATAGTAGCTGGCATAAGTATAGAGCCATAGAGAACTTTGGTGGTGGTGGAAGAACTGGTGCCACTGTGTCTTAAATGCTTTTGAGTTTCACTTCGCAAGCCTAAATTTTGACTTGGAAGTGTGAATATGTGCAAATGAAAGTAAATTAGTATCTTTGATTAAGAAAAGTAAGAACATGTTTCAACATTCAGAAAGTACGACACACTTGACATTTAAGAATGGAAACAGATCATGTTATTGCTTGATTTGGAAGGGTACATTTGTTTAGGATTAGGCACATCAGTATCTAGACAATGTTAGTAAAACAGAAAAAGACTGCCAATGTTCTTATTAGTTCTTACAATGCTGAAAGGAAAACATCAGTTCTTAAAACAATGGTTAGACAAAACGTGACAATATGCTTTGATAGCAAACTTAAGTTGATGATTTTAAGAGAAAAAGAAAAGCGGTCAGATTAATAACTTGATGCTTTTTATCAATTTTTGCAAGATGGGTCAATTACATGCATATGAACATTTGCTTTTAAAAGTTGATTTAATACATACTGATGTCTGCTAAATGGGTAGAATAAAAATTCTTAAAATAAAGTTCTGAATCTCCAAATCCAGTTAACACTAGCCTCGCTGAATCATTGCTTCAAACAGACTTAACACAAGAGAAAATAAATTAGTTCATGTGCAACACTGCTGTGAATTCTAACTTAATAGTAAAGATCAGTGTGGCAACATATCCTGACTGATTTCTCCCAAATTGATCCCTCCTTCTAATATCACTATATGAATAAACCAAGAAATAGAGCATTATGTATAAATTTGGATTAGAAACAACCAAAGCATCTAAAACAAAGAATAGACCCTGGCTTCATATTCCAGTCGCTCGGAAAATAAAAGCTATGAATCCAGTTTAAACATAATGCTAAAAATTGATAAACAAATAATGCTGGAAGCTTCCTGAGCGAGGCCTGCGCACATTAGTAAAGAAGAAATGATGATGTCCTGATTTAACCACAGTTAAGCAATCAGATGAATAGGCAACAGATTTTTTAAAAAAGCAGAGAAATTATTTGCAATTATCTTGCTCTACACATTAAGCAAGAGATTTTTTGTAATGATCCTGATATAAAGAGAGTGGAAAAAGATAAATACAGTTGAGAAAAGACGGAAAAAAAAAAGATACAACATTCCAGTAATGATGGAACAAAGAGATTCAATCCAGGCAGGGAGGGTAATTTTGAAGTAATCTCTTAAAAATCTCTTTTCACTAAATTCTATGTTCAAACTGATCTTTTTAAACATATTTAAAAATAGACTCTAGAGTAGTGACAACCTACTGCTGAAGTAAAAAAATTCTAATCAGATTTTTTTTTTCAAAAAACAAAGCCTAGTAGTAAATAAGTACAGGTAGTCCTCATTTACTGACTCCCTCATTCAGCAACCATTCAAAGTTACAACAGCACTGAAAAAGTAGGTTTATGACTGGTCCTTGAACTTGCAGCCATTGCAGTATCCCCATGGTCATGTGATCATAAGTTGGGCGCTTTGCAACTGGCATGCGTTTATGACAGTCACAGTATCCCATGGTCACCTAATCACCATTTGCGACCTTCACAGCTGGCTTCTGACGAGCAAAGTTGATGGGGAAGCCAGCAGGAAGTTGCAAGTCACAGTCACATTATGTTGCTCTTAACAACCAGTGATGATTCACTTAACGACTGTGATGGAACTGATGTTTTAAGTCCAGCACAGTCACGTGATATTTCACTTAACAACCACGTCACTTAGCAATGGAATTGCCAGTCCCAATTGCGGTGGTAAATAAGGACTACCTGTATATCCAATATATTTGAAAACTAGACTTATATGCTGCTTTACCTTTATGTTTCAATCTTGTTAATACTCTTGTCATTTCTTTAAGGGAGGAGCTTTCGTAGGAAATCACAGTAATCAAAAATATAGTAGAAAGTGATATAATAAATCTGTGACTTGTGGCATTTGTACTCACTTCGGTCTATTGCAGCAACTGTTACATTACACTGATACAACTTTAAATCTGGTGCATCTCTGTCTAGCATTCTAGTGGTGCTGATCTGACCTTCATTATTAATGGTAATCCAATTACATGGATCATTTATTATTTTGTAGCTGCAAGGGAAAAAATAACATATGTTAGAAACAAACACATGAAATGACATTCTTCATAGTATCTTAGATATCTTTAAACTGTTTGCAAAATAGGCTGGTATAAATGTACTTATTATACCAGTCCCACAAAACAGCTAATTCAAGAATACATTTTTATGGTAAAGGGTTATATAGGCAGAAAAATAATTATTCTGAATTTTTTGTCAGCAATTTGTCTCAGATATTCATGATGCAAAATAATTTTTCTAAATTTGACCCACCCCATTGGTATTTGGGAAATAAATTAATAGGAAAGTAAAACTATGAAATCTGCAGAGAAACTATATGCCAACAGTAATAGAAATGCACATGTAGATAATCTCACCAACAGGATGGAATAACAATCCTTATCTGAGAATGAGATTTTTAATTCAGGGGTTTTAAAGTCAAGTGGGAACAGCCTGCACCCTAATCTCCAGCATGCCATGTTTACGCTACTGAATTTCTGGAACAAAATGCCCAATTTTTGAATTTGTTTTTTAAAATAATGTGGGAAATAAAAACAAGAGGAGGCCTGTGGAAGAGGGATTCTGTGGGAGGGTTGATGGCAGCTGTGACAGAGTGATCAAAGTCCCACCCCTTTTTACACGGGCATTATACGTGCTACCCATGGTAAAAAGGGGCAAGGTTTCAATCACCCAGCGATGCACACCATTTTGATATCACTAATCCACATCCCCCTACAGGTGCCCCTGCTCCAAGAGGAAAATTCTCTCATTTTAACTCTTAAGCTTTCTCCCAATCCCCTCCCCCTATCCCAAACTGAATTTTGGATCATGGAAGGCTGTTAGAAGACTTTAAGGATGATAATGGAAGCAGTTTGTCTCTTCAAAGTTTCCTGCTTCCATTCTCACTCTTAACACCCACATAGCACAAAGTCGGCTCTGCCACTTCCTGTAATGTCACTACCTTTCCAGCAATAGCAAACCCTGCAGCCATCCAGCTGCATGAGAAAGTTGCCAATCTCTGCTCTATACCTATAATTCCACAATAGCAGAATTTGTCCACAACAAACAGAACAAGAAACAGAATTAGGCAACAAAGTACAATACCGTATGTCTTCACTATTTCTGGTCTCTGGGTCGCTTGCTGAGTAATGGCCAACCACTGTTCCAGCTTTCAAACATTCTTTGATATTTAAAATATATATAATAGGGTTGAATACAGGCCCTTCATCCACATCTTGTACTTTAACAACAACAACACAAGTACTTGTAGAAATTGGTCCTGAATTTGGTGCTAAAACGTAAGGTACTTCATTATTCACAACAATTTCTAATCTTCTCTCTTTGGTTCTTTCATAGTCCAGACCCTAGAAAATATATTACAAGATTTGCTACAAGTTAGTAGTGTTTCATTCTAAGCTATAATCATGAAGTATAAACCAGCAATTTTTTAAATCCCTCTTCTACCTCTCTTCTTTCTTTTTGCTGATTAGAAACTCTGTGGAAGGAAGAGTTTTCATCTCTATGCTTCCATTAATACAACAGACTCAGACCAAACAGCAACACAGAATCTCTAACAGTACTATCTAGAATGTCAGCAACTTTTCTAGTATCCTTACCTCTTTTGATTTTCATGAATAATCTTGAGATCAGGGGACATGCACAATAGCTCTTATATCATCACACTGGCCACTGAGGCCCTGAGAGTTTAAATAAAAAGCTTAAATGCTGTTGGTTCTTTTTTTGTCTCCCACTTTTTGATTTGTTTTATTATAAAAAGAACATTTCATAAATAACATGTTTTTATTTGGCCTTAAGAAATCATAATGGTTAGAAATAATAGAAAGCAAACAGCAGGCCACCTATATTTAAGTTTAATAAGCTACCTTGTGAAGTTCTCTTGGCAAACACACTTTCTACAGACTAAATTTTGCTCCCAGAGATATTGCGCAGTATCATCAGAATAGTTTACATACTATTTACTACTCTGCAGCCAATTCCACCCTATACATTTGAGAATGGAAAATAGATATGTAACATTAGAGATACAGGTAGTCCTCGCTTACCAACCATTTGTTCAGTGACTGTATGAAGTTATGATGGTGCTGAAAAAAGGAGATTTATGACCAGTTTTCATAAGTTGCAGCCATTGCAGTGTCCCCGGAGTCACTTGATTGAGATTCAGGCATTTGGCAACTGACACACATTTGCAACCATTGCAGCATCCTACTGTCACCATTTGCAATCTTCATAGCCAGCTTCCGACAAGCAAAGTCAGCAGGGAAGCCGGCAAGAAGTTGCAAGTCATGGTCACGTGATATGCTTAACAACCCGCAGGATTCGCTAATGACCGCAGCCAGAACTGCCGTCATAGGTTGGCACAGTCATGATATTTCACTTTATGACCGCGTCACTTAGTGATGGAGTTGCCAGTCCCAATTAGGTCATTAATCTAGGACTACCTGTACTTCCTTGTCCTGCTTGTTCTCTTCTATAGTTTGCACAACCAATGCCCAAGCATTCAAATACAAATAGACTGGAGGATAGGATAAATTTTGAATTCACAATTACAGATTCTATTATGTAATTCATTCTAATATTAGTACTACTTAAAATATTTTCCAGTAATTTTTAAAGGCGTTATCTTGTGTAACTTTAGTGCCCAGGATAAAACACATCAAACCTGCAGCAAAACAGGATAGCATAAAGAGGGTGCCATTCAGGCCTCCTTTTCCCGCTAGTCAAATTCAATGGCTGCCAAGTAAGTTCAGGTTTGTTTCCTTATTATTACTTTGCACTTCTGTAAACCTGCTCCTATTTCCTCTTGGGCATAGCTTTGTGTAATGAAAATGGCACAGCTATGGCATTCAAAACTTAGTACTGGAAATATAAAGTACTCAGCCATGAAATTGGAACAGCATGTGCAAGAAAACCCAGTGTGTATTCAAAAGTTCATAAAATAAAAACTATGTCAGCTTTATAATAAAAATAGCAAGGAAACTAAAACATGTAGTTAATACAACAAACAACCACCTGGAAAAATTCACTGCTGAAAAATTATTGCAACCATAACTTTTAGGGAAAACTATTCAGCTATAGAGTCAGCGGTGTTAAAATATCACTGAAAACCACTGCCACTTTCAGTACTGGAAAATAGGATTACAACTCCTTATACAACTCTAAATGAAGGTGGAAATACACCCTGTAACATTTTGCAGTCCTTTCCTTAGTTACCTTTTGAATACATAAGGAAGCAGTGTTTGAATCCCGGTTTGTTTCAATTTTGAAAGCACCATCTTCATTTCCCTTTATAATATTGAAAGTAGCATGCCAGGCTGGAGTTCCCCGTACATCTTTGTCCACAGCACCAATTTTCACTACTTCTCCAGCAACTGTGTTTTCGGAAACAAATACTTCATACTGAAATTAGCAAAATTTTCATAGATTAGTTTTATTATGCAGAGCTTAACAGTATATTATTATTCCAAGATGCTAGAATCCCAGGTAGAATTAGTATATAATATCCTATTTGTTTTTTTACATAACTATAAGTGGGGCAAAAAAGTATTTAGTCAGCCACCAATTGTGCAAGTTCTCCCACTTAAAAAGATGAGAGACGCCTGTAATTTTCATCAT